GGACAGTTCACTGACTGTCTTCAGACTTCAGACTTGAGCTGGCTCTCCTAACCAGCTTCTCCACACGATAAAAGGTCATAAAATGTTCTGAGTATTGTCCTACACACGCCGAAGGACCTCAGTCTCCTCAGTAGTCGGAGACGACTTTGACCCTACATGTACAGGACACCAATGTTTATAGACCAGTCCAGTTTATTGTTCAAGTGAAAACCCAGGTATTTGTAATTATCGACCATCTCTATGTCCTTGCCCTGAATGTTCACTGGTGTATGGTGGGAGGTTCCCCTATGGAAATCAATGACCAGCTCCTTAGTTTTGGTGGTGTTGATTTGAAGGCAGTTCGCTTCACATCACTTAACAAAGTCACTGATCACTGATTTCAATTCTTTATCGTCCTCATCAGATACACGCCCGACAATGGCTGTATCGTCTGAGAACTTCTGTAAGTGACAGTTGTCCGTGTTGTAGTTGAAGTTGGCAGCATATCTGGTTGTCCTACACACGCCGAAGGACCTCAGTCTCCTCAGTAGTCGCAGACGACTTTGACCCTACATGTACAGGACACCAATGTTTACAGACCAGTCCAGTTTATTGTTCAAGTTAACATCCAGGTATTTGTAATTATCGACCATCTCTATGTCCTTGCCCTGAATGTTCACTGGTGTATGGTGGGAGGTTCTCCTATGGAAATCAATGACCAGCTCCTTAGTTTTGGTGGTGTTGATTTGAAGGCAGTTCGCTTCACATCACTTAACAAAGTCACTGATCACCGATTTAAATTCTTTAACGTCCTCATCAGATACATGCCCGGCAATGGCTGTATCGTCTGAGAACTTCCGTAAGTGACAAGTGTTGTCCGTGTTGTAGTTGAAGTTGCCAGTATATCTGGTGAAAAGAAAAGGACCAAGTACAGTTTCTTGCGGTGCCCCTGTGCTGGACACTACCACATCAGACACAGTTCGGAAGCCTCACCAACTGTGGTTGGAGAGGTAGTTGATGGTTCATGCAGTTAGGGAACCGTCTACCCCTGCCCCCTTCCAGCTTCATCCTGAGTAGTGAAAGATTCTTGCTGTGCGAGATGTCTTCAGGCAAGGAGTGGAAGCAGCCGGTAGATGGTCGATTTGTTTTAATAACAAACGTCAAACAAAACAGGTCCAACAATAAAGCGAAACAAACGACTGGAGAAGTATTCAAGGAAATCTCGTACGACAGTAGTTAATATGCAAATCCTGTCAAGAATAACTTCTCAACTGACTTCTCGAGACTTCTCAAGAATAACTTCTAAAGTATCGTTAGTTGTTTATGCTTATATACCTGTATGGGGGGAGTGGTTTTCGACTTCCCGGGTGTGCGTTTAAATCTTGTAGGCCAATGGAAGAGAGAGGCTAGGCCTCTTGTGGCCAATCATATTATTGTTCTTGTTATCATGTGATGCCCGCAGTCGCCACTGTGTGGCACTCTTGTTCCATGATTCAGCAGCGTTGGAAGAACCTTTTGTTGCTCAGTGGGGGCGTTATCACAAGGGAAGTGGACCGAGCCATAAAGTCCAGTCAACCACAGGTGATGATGTAGATCAAAAGGAATGGATGTCTTCGGGGTTCCCTGTGAGAAGGTAGATTGGGAGAGTTGAAGAAAGTTGGTGTGAAGAGAATTTGGGGAAATTCTCTTTGAATGTGTGGGGCTATGTGACTGTGTGTGCTCGGGAAAGCCTTTTGGTGTCTTAGCAGCTTCCTGCTGCAGACCCAACCAAATGTGAAAACCACTGAAATCAACCAACAGTAGTGATGGCTGGACATAAGAACTTAAACTTAAACTTAAACTTATGTTTAAGAAGTACATGACCAAAGTACTTACAAGTATTACATATTATATAAAAACACGCAATTTTAAGGCTCCTAGCAGCAAAATTGCTGCGTGTGTCTGTTGTTCCCTAGCCAGGTTTAATGTTCATACAGTTATACGGGTGTACTTGTACAGTTGTACCTGCCCTACAAGTCATTTTGTATGGCCCGCTGGAGCTTAAAAAGCATTTACACTGGTATGTTCCGTTTTTTTTTTCAGGAGAGTCCAGACTTTTTGAAGACATTTAAGATGTTTTGATGAGGATAGACCTGGATGAGTTGTCTTTGCATCTCCTTCTGTAAATTCAAGGTGTTCAGAAATAACCTGCAGGTTTTGATCTCTTCCTAATGTGGATTTATGCCGGGGTCAACGACAGCGATGAAGGATCTCATCATCCCCAGTAGTGGAGAGGTTTTGTTACACAGACTTGCTCAAGATTTGAATACACATGATCCAGTGTAATCTTCCCTATGGTTTTCCAAAGTTAAGGAGCAGTTTTAAGACAAGCTGGATTCTATTCCCCAAAATCATGAAAAAGGTCCACCTACAATGGTCTGCATCTGTTTGTTAATGATGATCCATCCATCCATCCATTTTCATCCGCTTATCCGTTACCGGGTCACGGGGGCAGCAGTCGCCACCCAAATCACATTGCACCGTACCCTAAACCTTCCTGCGGGTGGTGAGTCCACTGGAAGGTACAAACCGCCCTAACCGGGATTCGAACTTGCCCAGGAGGTGAACCCTGGGGTTCCACACCAATGACAGAGACATTGCCTCTGGGCCAAAGCGCCACCTTGTTAATGATGATGTCAAGCTAAAACAAAAACGGTGATATGCTCATTTTTAGCAAACATAATCAGTAAGGTGAGCTATCTGGGCCTACCGAAAGATCTTCACAGCACTTCCATTGATCCCAGGTCCAGAGAGCAATGTGTGTATATTATCATGTGCACTCTATTGGGTAGAGCAAGTGATTATGAATACAGAGAGTCCCACTGGTATGTTCCGTTTTTTTTTTCAGGAGAGTCCAGACTTTTTGAAGACATTTAAGATGTTTTGATGAGGATAGACCTGGATGAGTTGTCTTTGCATCTCCTTCTGTAAATTCAAGGTGTTCAGAAATAACCTGCAGGTTTTGATCTCTTCCTAATGTGGATTTATGCCGGGGTCAACGACAGCGATGAAGGATCTCATCATCCCCAGTAGTGGAGAGGTTTTGTTACACAGACTTGCTCAAGATTTGAATACACATGATCCAGTGTAATCTTCCCTATGGTTTTCCAAAGTTAAGGAGCAGTTTTAAGACAAGCTGGATTCTATTCCCCAAAATCATGAAAAAGGTCCACCTACAATGGTCTGCATCTGTTTGTTAATGATGATCCATCCATCCATCCATTTTCATCCGCTTATCCGTTACCGGGTCACGGGGGCAGCAGTCGCCACCCAAATCACATTGCACCGTACCCTAACTTCCTGCGGGTGGTGAGTCCACTGGAAGGTACCAACCGCCCTAACCGGGATTCGAACTTGCCCAGGAGGTGAACCCTGGGGTTCCACACCAATGACAGAGACATTGCCTCTGGGCCAAAGCGCCACCTTGTTAATGATGATGTCAAGCTAAAAAAAAAAACAGTGATATGCTCATTTTTAGCAAACATAATCAGTGATGTGAGCTATCTGGGCCTACCGAAAGATCTTCACAGCACATCCATTGATCCCGGGTCCAGAGAGCAATGTGTGTATATTATCATGTGCACTCTATTGGGTAGAGCAAGTGATTATGAATACAGAGAGTCCCCTCTCTGGTCTCACCACAGCTTTAATCCCTGTTGTGACAATGCATGATGCAGTTGGTCAGCGAAACGGTCTGTGATGAGCAAGCGAAGACAGGATTTGTGATGAGCATCACGTTGCAGTCAAGAATGAAGCCAGTTCTTGTAGTCAGTAAATCCAGCTCTTCAATTTTTGATTGAATTGCCGTTGTTAAGGAGGATACTTGCTATCAAGGGTTTGCGAAACTGTTTCCATAGCCATAGCTGCAGACACAGAAACAGGACATCCAAGCATTTTCTACTTTGCTACCTGCAGCTACTTTCTGTCTTTAAAACTGATCGTGCTCATCAAAGGCGTGTCAACTTGTCTTGCCCCCCTCCTCACACAAGGCGATCTTAGTCATTCTCCACCCTGGTTCCCACATAGTGGAACAAACTACCAGCTACCACAAGAGCAGGGTCCTCCCTCTCTTATTACAAGAAGCACTTAAAAACGTTTCTCTTCAACGAACATCTCTTATCTTAACAAACCCACTAACATCTAACATCTCTTCTTACTCCATGACCTACTATCCTTATGACTTTACTTATGACATATTCTTATGACATTTTCATGATATACTATTTTTACTATTTGTTACTTATTATTATTTATTACTATTTATTATTATTTATGTACGGTATATTTGTATTTTTACTGGAGCTTCATTGTTGATTGACTGACAAATTGTCGCTTCGAATAAAAGCGTTTGCTAAATGTATTGTAATGTAAGTGACGTGTAATCCTTTCATCATTTGAATTTCATTAGCTTAGCCTATCCCCAACGAGACCACTTCTTTAAATTCAAATCACTTTGCTCTGTGTGTCTTCCAAGACGAACAGGAGCTGCTCGTTCAACTTCCAGTTAAGATGAAATTGGATGTCGCCGTGGATGTCAACTATGCAATCATAAGTAAAGTTGCCCTGTTTCAGGTCAATGAAACCCCACACAAACTTGTTACCTTTTGATAAAATTAAGACGTGTGCTTAAAGCGATTGTGTTTATATATGTTCTCAGGGCTGTGACCGACAAATGATTTTTGACATGTTGACCAGACTCAAATCTGTTGTCTACCTGCCTGGGGACTTTGTATGCAAAAAGGTGACTGATGATGATTTGGAGAAAGCTAAAAAGTATTCAAACTATGTTGTTGCTGATTATTTGTCTGTTTGTTTGGTTGTCTCAGGGGGAGATTGGCAGGGAGATGTACATCATTAAACAGGGGGAGGTACAGGTGGTAGGCGGTCCTGACCTGCAGACTGTGTTCGTCACCATTAAGGCTGGCTCAGTGTTTGGAGAGATCAGGTAAGCACCGCTTTTTTCTGCTCATCCCATTAACTACAGTACTTGATAGTATTCCATTTGATTAGAGCAGTACTTCTCAAATAGTGGGGTGGGCCCCCTTTGGGGGGGCGTGAGGGGCTTCCAATGGAATATGACACACTGGACATTAGTGTACAGTACCACTGCGGTGATGCTTGAATGATAACACGTCTCCAGTCACTAGGTGGCAGCAACCCATACAGTGGTTTGTACAGATAGAAATATAGATATTATTAGGTTCTTAGTAGTATTTCAGAAAATAATTGAGAACCACTGGATTAGAGTAAATTTAAACTAATTGTTACTACACTTCACAAGCACAAATTACAAAATGCAGTTATCCTTTATCAGGATTTGCACAACAACAAGCATACAAAATGCACAGGTATATGTAACCGTAACATGTAACAGGACGTTAGTGAATGAATATACATTTTAGGGCAGTGGGTTTGTATGCAAATATGAACACTCATATTTGGATAGATGGTTGGATAAACAGATTATGCCAATGGTAGAATGGAGGCCCAATATTTTTTTTTTTTTTTTTGTGATTTTGAACACCCTCTCCAGTGAGCAGGCCAGGATGCTTCCTGTCACACAGCAAAATAAATTCACAAGAATGGTTAAGGAAAGAATTACATTCTTATTGTCAAAGGAGAAATGTGATCTGCATGATTGTTTTGGCACAAGTTTTCAGGCCTCTCACAAATGAATCTGGGGCTTCGGACCACCACCAAGAGGACATTGAATGTGCCCCTCCAGTGGTAAAGATGGTACAGGACATCATCCATAAGAATAAGGCAGCAAAGAACCGGTGGAATAGTCAGGGAAATGGGGCAAGTAGACTGACAGGCTAGAAGAGTGAATGAGAGAGTACTTTAGGCTGAACAGTAAGGAAAGAGAGGATTTGTACTGTTAGCTAACCAGAAGGATAGCGCTAGAAAGGCTAATCAGCAGGTCAGTGTCAGGAATACCAGGCTTGGAACCGAAAGAAGTACACAAAGACAACCCAGAGAAAACGTTTAACAGTTTACTGCAAGAATTGGAAAGTTACAAACAAAGGTGTCTCAACATAGGATAGAGAAGGTCAGTAAGACTTGGAGGTCTTTGTGAATTTGGAAAGAACATATCGGGAAATCGAGATGAAGATGCTGAAACCAGGATGGACAGCATTGGTTAGATATGAGAAGAGCAGAAGTGCAGTTAAGGTGGAGCAGTTTGGAGATAAGGTTAAAGAGATAAGGTTGAGATGGTTTGGGCATGAGTTTAGGAGAGATCAGTCAGTATATTAGACTAAGAATGTTAGAGATTGAGTTGCCCGGTAAGCGAGAAGAGGAAGACCTCATAGGAGATTTGTGGATGTTGTAAGACAGATAGCGGAGCAGGGAGAGATGGAAACAGACGACCCACTGTGCCTTATCTGTCCCTTGGATAGATAATATATATAGATAATAAATATTTTCCTCTAATGATAATAGGGTGTCATGAAAAATTGTACTACCTTAAAAAGTCAAAATCATTTAATTATTAGAATGGGTCATGAAATTAATTTGACTAGTAAAAAGGCAGTAAGACCTCGAACCACAAAGTAAGGATGTAAAAATAAAAACAACAAATGTTTTAGGTCTTTTTTTTTCTTTTTTTTTTAATAACTAGTTTGCTGGCAGGTGGTGGCGGGAATCGCCGTACTGCCAATGTAAAGGCACATGGATTTGCAAATCTCTTCATCCTGGATAAGAAAGACCTAGCCGATATCCTCGTGCACTACCCCGAGTCTCAGAAGCTGCTCCGGAGGAAGGCTAAGTAAGACTAAATGTTCATTTAACTTACTAACCCTGTGTGTAATTTAAATCTAGTGATTGCCCTAAGGGCAAGCATGACATTTTATGCTTGCCCTTAACAAAAAGAAAATCATTGACTTATGTGTGATTTCATAGTTTTTGTAGAGAAATCAGGTTAAACCATTCCACTTTTAACACACTGTTCCATTAAATTCATCAATGCAGGAAGATGTTAACAAAGGACCAGAAAGCAGACGACAAGAATCTTGATAAAGTGGAAGTCATACCGCCCAAATCAGAAAGTCCAAAACTCTTCAGAGCAGCATTGAAGGTAGCGGAGCAGGCAGGAATAGAGGGAGCCTTTGCCAAACTGAGGAAAGCCTGCAAATAATTTAAGAGAGCAGCAAAGGTATGACAACCACATGGTATCATGATAATATCTGTGGTTGATGTTGTGTGCAAAATGACCATATCGTCATTTTTTTTTTTTTTTGCAACTTTCCCAAACTTTCCAAACTTTTTGCTCCTGACATGTCTCACTTTGGCATAAGTCACTGAACAATTTGAGGCTGCCCTGTGCCACTTGCTGCAGGAAACACGCAGCTTTTGAGCACCCTCTGGTGGTTGTCTGACTAATAGTTGACATCAAGTGCTTGATTTCATATGGAGCACAGCCTGATTTTTAAATGTAAATATTAATTTATTCATGGCCACCACAATCATGATCGTGAATAATATTTCAATTAATTGAACAGCCCTAACTGGTACACTTACGTCATTTTTGCCAGAAATTTAAAAAGGGTCCCAACTTTAAAAAAGGGCCACAACCTTGCTTATAAAAGCCTTTGTGTACCGGCTCTGCAATTACCAGTAGTTCTTTGGCTAATCTTTAACAAATAAGTAAGGACAATACTCCAGTAAAATTAGCTTTCTAACTTTCTAACTAAATTGTTTCATTTTGGTAACATTCCGCCACATGGGGAGCCATTACACAATACCTAGCTTTGTACAGTTGCTGTGGACAAACTGAAAAGAATGGACAACAAACATGTCACTAAAGCAAGAGAGGACAATGCTGTCCAGCGCTGTTCTTAAGTAGGAGAAAAACTTTTGTTGGCAATGCAGCTGTTGTTTTTAATTGCTTCGAGAAAAACCGTAGAAGGAGTGATGATGAAAACCCCTCAATTTTTGTTTTGGTCTTCTATTGTTAACAATTTATAGAGAACATTTTGGATTGGAAAATATATTACAAATGTGACTTTTAAAAGAAAAAAATAAAGCAAAAATAAAAACAGGTATTATTAAATCATAATTGTTTACCTAAAGGCAAACATTTGTTTTACGACATATTCGAGAGTGTACAAGAAGTATAAATTTAATTTCAATCCCTTTTCCATTTCTATTAATAATAACATTTCTAGAGATTCATTTATTTATTTATTAATTTCTATTAATTTATAATTGTTCTTATTCCTTATCCCCTGGGGCAATTCTTTTTTCTTTGTTTTCTTTTGGCATATTTTCAGAAAGAGAGTTGATTTAGTTTTCGGCTTTATACTTTATTTGTCTGTCTCCAGTTTATGACTGGAAATTTTAATAAGTGTGATTTCAAAAATAATAAAAATAATTAGTTTTATGATAGATTGACTAAAATGAACAGTTACAGTTAATTAATATTAGTTAGTAACCAAGTCAATTAGGTAATTGTTTATCAAACTGTGTAATTAAAACACTAGTGGAAGCAGAAAGATTACAGGAATAAATGAGTAATGGTAAGTGAAGTAAATAACAAGTATGGGTTTCAGATATGACAAAGGAGTTTATCATTTTAGTAGCTGTATACCTACTTAAACAAAAAATATACTGTATGTTTATTAGCTACGAAAGAGCGGTGTATTTACTGATATTACTTGCCAGTTAAGTTTAGTGGGGTTCATTTTTTTCTTACTTTTTGCAGCACTATGTTATGGCACTCTCTTGGATACACATTATCACCGTCACATTAGTGATTTGTCACGTTTTAGAGATAGTTGTGGGCAGATCTGATATATCAACACCACCATTACCAACTTAATAAAAATGGATAGTTCAATTTTATATTCCAATGTGGCAATCCGCCTGGTAATAAATGAATATTTGTTATAAAAATGCAACTCTTTATGTATCTTTGTCACACCCATGCGTTAGTGAGAGAAACTAAACGATGTAGAAAACGTGTAGACTTGTTATTAAGAGTAAAATTCTAAAAAAAAAAAACTGAATCTGTTACAGAGAGCTGGGGCACTTGTTTTTTCTATAATGCTAATCTCCATTAACCCTGTAGGCTGTTATTTTTGCACGTTTGTGTTCAATTATTTTAAAAGCCGAGGTCACATTTTGCTGTGTGCACGTAGCAAGTAGTTCACGTTCCTTTCCACTTTCCTAAATATAGTTACCAATATCGGTATATATGGCTGTAAACATAAACTTACAACAAAACCAATGCATACATGTATGTTAACTGGACTCACTTATTATAGGTACGCTCGATTGCTTATTTGACTTCACCAACATGGCGGCGGAATTGGCGCACTCATAACCATTGAAGCGGCGTTCACGCATTGTATAGGTTTTTCTGGGTTGAGTCCTCCGCATTGCTTTCTTTTGCTCTCAGCATGGTGTGGTACCCTCATGTCTAACGGTCAGTGAACGCAACAGGGACTGAACACTTATGACGCAGAAACTCCATTCTGCTCAGCAGCTGGAAAGCCGGGAATGATTACGCAAATATAGTCTGCTACAAACTTTTAAAACCACGTTTTGGGGATTTATAACAAAACTCAACGGACATTTCGAAAGCTTGACAGCCAAGAATATACAGAAGGAGGAAAAAACACTGGGCGAATCACTGTCGAGGTAAGAAAATGTTTAGTTCCTTCAGTTTCCGCCGCAATTGTGACGCTTTACTTGGACACGTTGGCGTTGTCTGATGTGTGTAACTTTCCCCAGTCCAATCCTAGTCAAAACAAATTAGATTGTGGAAATCCGATACAGACCACTGTGCCTGTTCCACTCCCTCAGCAGTTTTTGACAAAAGAACCCCTTTTTCATACACACTCGCACAAACATGTTTGGACGTCCTTTCTGACGTCTGTTTGTCGAGATCAGCTTTAGTGACTTTAACCGTCACTCATGTCTTAAAACATTTACACACATAAAAAAAATGTAAAAAAGAGCATACACAAGAAATATTTAAATTAAATCAGTATTTTGTTAGCTGGTGTGTGCGTGTGCATACACTGTATTTTACAGCTTAATAGGTGGCTGGAGCATGCATTGGCTGGTTTACCATTTGAAGGTAAAGACAAAAAAATGTTTTTGAAAATGAGCTGTTGAACAGGTGTTTAAAAATTCAGCTATGAATAGTTCTTTAGTTTTGTCAGAAAAAACATTCCACTTAGATTTAAGAGAACCAAGGTTATAATTGTTTAGTATTTTCTATACATTAGCTTTTTTCTCTCTCTAATTCAGTTAGTTTTAGGAGCATGTTTGTTCGTTTTAGTTAGTTTAATTTTTTTTGTTTTGTTAATTTTAGTCAGGGATTTTGGTCAATTTGTCAATTGTAGGATTAAAAAAAATCAGATTTAATATTGTTAAATAAAATGTAACACGGGGCAACATTTCACAAAATGTATTCAGTTAATGTTGAGCAACCAACTCACCACAGCAACCATAACGGTCCACAAAATAGCAGCTTTTAAAACATCTATAATTCTGCTACTGAGGTTAGATACTAGTAGTGTGAAGAGTCAACTCAAATTAGCAAATAGGCTAGAGACGCACATAAACAATGCTTCAAATCCATTCATAAAACACACGTCTTGCGACAGCCAGGGTTCTTAGGAATCTCTCCAGGATCAGTTCATTTGTTGACCAAAATGAACAGTTCAAATCTGAAAATAAATGTGATCTAAAAATTAAAAAAACACTCTACAGGATCAATTCATTTGTTGACCAAAATGAACAGTTCACTAAATTAAGCACAAGGCTTCTCGAGAATGATAAGGTACCTAAGTCAAGCAACACATTCTTGTTGATCTTTTTAGAAAAACAAGCTGCAAAAGATATGTCTGTCGTTCTGTTGTTCAGTTTGGTGGACGACAGTAAACGCGCACAGAAAATGTGCTTCACATAGACTTGTGGGGCAGGAGCGCATACCGGGACAAGTTAGATGGACACTACTGTTTTCTGCCAACTTTCGTTGTTGCCATTTTGCCTGGTAATATAATGGTCAACCACCGACTGTAAACAAAAAGTGTTGAAGTGACGGATTGTGAAGTCTGGTAAATGTGTCCCTAAAAAAAAAAAAAATGGGAAGTCTGGTAAATGTGTCCCTATTAGTGCTGTATGATGGAAAAAAAATCCACTGTATTTTTAAAAATGAAACAGAGTTGGCTGTTTTCATGAGAAAATAACCAATTCTTTCTTTTTGCAAGCATTTTTAATTTGCAACACACACACACACAAACACAAATATTCAACACACACAGATAGCTGTTGAATATTTCAGCAAGCATTTCTATGCTTCAGTTGCAGCTAAAATATTTAGGACCACAGGAGAGGAGGAGTTAGAAGGAGGTGGGGCTATAAGAGGAGGGATGCTGCCACAGTGTTGTTGCTGCAGTAACAGAGAGGAAGGAAGCTGCTTTTGTGTGTGTCCTGCGCATGCGCACTGAGGGGTCTGAGGGTGGAGCCGATACTAATCCCTCTGCCATTCTGTGTTCGCTATGTGCAGCTGCAGTTGTTAGATAGACGCAATATGCGTTATACATGTGAAATTGGTCCACAATAAGTAAGGTAAGACGCAGATGTTTTGTACTAATGAATAGCTTAAGGAAATAGG